CTAAGTAACCACATAATGATAACTGTGACCTCACAAGATCTTGGTTGGTATTTTTTCAAAATTGTGAGGTCTGCGCATGTGCACGCATTTGTATTTAGGAGGTTCCCCCCCACATCTTGTTCCTGTTCCCCTTGTGTGAATTTTTGATCGAATTTTTGATCGAATCTCTAAGGTAAGTTCAAAGTCACATGTATGATAAATCAACTATTACTGTATGCACTGATACTCTCCTCCCCCTTTTCCCTCAAAGATGTTTCCAATTTTGGTGAAAAATAAACTAGATAAAGCATAGTATGGCCATATTAAAATCAAGTACTCAGAAAATGTATTATGGGATTGCCAAGACATCTAACTAAGCATAAGTGATACTACCAAATTATAAGAACATAGGTAGAGCCTGTTGGATTAGACCAGTGGCCCATCTAGTCCAGTTTCACACAGCAGCCAACCACCTACCCAGGAGGGCCAAAAAAACCCCAGGGCATGTAGGCCAAGGCCTTGCCCTAATGCTGCCTCCTAGTACCGGTATTCAGCAGTTTGCTGCCTCTGTAGATGGTTCCCTTTATTCACATGGCTAGCAGAAACTGATGGAGCTCTCCTGCGTGAATCAGTCTAAACCCTTTTAAAGACATCTGTACTTGTGGCCATCACTACATCCACTAGCAGTGAATTCCGCAGATTAATTATTATTTGAGTAAAGAAGTATTTCCTTTTGTCTGTCCTGAACCTATTTCCCAACAACTTCATTGGGTGTCCCTTAGTTATAGTATTATGGGAGAGGGAGAAATATACGCTTTCTCTACCCTATTTATAATTTTAGAAACCAAAAATTACATGAGCTTACTGGTGCTCTCACTTTAGTTTGAATATTATCTATAATCTCCTTTCTGTAATTAGACTTTAAATAATCTTATGTAATGATCTTTAAGTAATGTTCTGTAGTGAGGAAAGTTCCTGAAAATTACTTGTAATGGAAGGCTTTCCATAAGCAGAGCATGACTTTCTCACTTCTTCCCTCCTGCTGCAGCCCCAAATGCCCTCCTGAAATGCTGTTCCTGGGATACTGGGGACACCTAGGAGGAACTGGAGGTTTGCAGTGGGATTGGGCAATAAGCAAAAATTACCCCTTCCACTAACAGGAATATTAGGTGGAATCTAACTAAGGAGAGCCAGTGTGGCATAGTGGTTAAAGAGCAGCAGACTCTAATCTGGAGAACCAGGTGAACCAAATGAAGCGTGCTGGGTGACCTTGGGCCAGTCACAGTTCTCTCCGAACTCTCGCAGTCCCACCTACTTCACAAGTTGACTGTTGTGGAGAGAGAAAGGGAAGGTGATTGTAAGCCACTTTGAGACTCGGTATGGTAGAAAAAAGTGGGGTATCAAAACTAATTTATCTTCTAACTCATTTTAAGAGCTGAAACTTGAAATGTATTATTTTCTACAGGTGTATTTCAGCATCTTAAGATCAGGAATTTTCAACACCCTAGATACTCTCTCTTCAAGCAGTTTAGGAAGCAGGAAGTGGGCTCATATGCATGTTTATCTCTACACTTCAATTTTCATACGTTTTCTCTCCACCTGGCCTGATGTTATATGCATCTTCTACTAAACCAAAGTAAAAAAAAGCTAAAATATGATTCTTAACTCGCTTTAAAGATTTGGTTTCAGCTTATAATTTTTTCAGTAAGAGACCAAGATTTATTATGTGAAATCAAATATTGATTAATTCCATTTTTAAGAGACAGCAAAATGCCTATTAAATAAATTAACCTTAAAAATTAGAAAAACAGAATGAAATTAAATTTAGTGGAGCACTTCTGGCTGCCAGACAATCTTAGGATCTCCTGGCTATATGTACACACACTGCCATACAGTTATTATTATCATTATTATCATAGAATCATAGAATGTTAGAGTTGGAAGGGACCTTGCAGGTCATCTAGTCCAACCCCCTGCACTCTGCAGAAGCGTGGCCAAAAGATAGCCCTACAACATTCCCGAAAGATGGTCGTCCAGCCTCCGCTTGAAAATGTCCAGTGAAAGAGCATCCACCACCTCCCGAGGCAGTCTGTTCCACTGTTCAATCACTCTTACAGTTAGGTTCTCCTGATATTTAGCTGGTAACGACTTCCTTGTAATTTCCTCCCATTAGATCTAGTCTTGCAATCCAGAGCAAGAGAGAATAGATCCGCTCCATCTTCTACATGACAGCCCTTCAACTACTTGAAGACTGCAATCATGTCTCCTCTAAGCCTTCTCTTTCCCAGGCTAAAAATACCCAACTCTTTAATATCACTAGGACTTAATTTTTTTGTGAAGACAGTAAATTAACAGATTAAGACATTTTCGTGCAAATAAGCCCCATTGAATAAAAAGTCTACTTTCAAGTAGACTTACTTAGGATTGCACACCAAGAGCAAGCCTAAGATCCCTAAGCAAGGTCTACTCAGAATTCTACTCAGGTCTATTCAATGGGGCTTACTTCCAGCAAAGGGTTCTTAGGTTGTCCTGTATGTTGCATAAAAATGACTCATCATCTGATTTATATCATCTGATTTATATCATCTGATTTTATGCTTTGCAGCACAGTGGTGACAAACCAGGTGTCAGAGGATCTCAGCATTGTTCAAGGGACATTTTGTCCAGTTGCTCCAGAGATGGCAGTTTGCCTAGCCTTGTGCCCTGGGGCGGCAGAAACCATTTATGCTGCAAAGCTGGCTCAGCTCTGCGGTGCCTAGTCTGCAGCACAAATGGCTCCTGCTGCTATTTTGGGACTTGGAAAAGGCTATTTTAGGACAGGGAGGAGACAGCTACAGTAGAAGCCCTGCCATGCTTAAGAATAGATAGGAGGGTCTTCCCCCTGCTGCCAGTGCCATACTGCACCAGCAAAAGCCTGCATTACGAAGAATGTTATGGGGTTCACGTGAGGCACAGCTTGGCAAATTCTGCCCTGCTTGTTTCACATAGATTGCTGGTCTTGGGGTTCTGCAGAAACTCCTCTTCCACCACAGTACATAAAATAGAACACAAGATTGTGCTGCCAATACATGAGAGCAGTACAGTGAACCCACAGGATACTGAAGAATCAAATTCAGGTCCAGTCCAGAAGAAGACAGAGGGAGCAAGGTGCTGTGTACACATTTAAATGAACAAGAGTGGCATAGTGGTTAACGTGTCACTTTATACCTGGGGAGATGCAGTCTCAAATCCCCACTTGTCACAAACTCACTGGGTGATTTGAGGCCTGCCATTCCCCTCTCAGCTTAACTCAGCTCTTTGGGTTGGTGAGTGAACAAAACATAGGAGAAGCAAATCATGTACGTTGCCTCAAGCTCTTTGGAAGAGGGATAGTATAAGAATTTATAAAATAAACATAAAACCAGGAACATTCAGAGGCTTACAGTGCCATCCTAGGCAGAGTCACACTAAAGTCCACTGAAGCCAATCGGGTTAGAAAGGTGTAACTCCACTTAGCATGGCTCTATTAATCAGTTCAGAAATGCAAGGAGCTGGAGGAAAAGAGTTACTAACCATTTCCAAAAGTTATGAACATATTTTTTTTTCTGTGTCAATGCTCTGTCAGGCAACACAAACCTGTGTAAGTAATGCAAATACTTGAACGGAAAAATCAACCACCACAAATGTGAGATAAGGGATAAATATAGAACTGCCAAGTGATAGATACTTACAGACTCCTTTTTGCTCATGCTTCTACTTTGAGAGCGAGAATGGGAAATAGTGCTGAAAAAGGACTCTTTCTTGGCTGCTGACAAAGGTGGCGACCCTGTGTATTCCCGTGCTCCAGACAAACTTTCAATGCTTGGAGAAGAGCTAACATTTTTTGAACCCTGCCCTGTAAAGTAAACAGAGAACAGCAAAAACGATCAGTGAAAAACATTGCCATCAAAGTGGTCTTTATCTGAAGTGTCACTCAGAGACTTTCACAAAAGGATCAACGGAGAGTGAAATTTTATGACATCAAAGCACATCTGTCCACACACACAGGGAGATATGAAGTACTCTTGTGGGATAGACAGAGCCATACTGAACCAGGTCTCTACATGCAAAGCCTCCAAAACAAACACATAAAACACAAGTATGTTAAAGGAAACAGAAGATTCTGCACTGTGAAAACCCACACTCGGCTCAATTCATCACAACAATTAAAAAATAATATTCTTGTTTTATTCTCTGATGAAGAGGGATCAAGTTTGGCAGGCTAGGAATTTTAAGGCGAGGAGTGAAATAGTGGGAAAAAAAGGGGGCAAAGTGTGTGTGTGTGAAGGGAGAGCGAGAGTATGATCTTAATTTTAGAACCATTTACAGTTATTTACTGCTCAACCAGGCTAGTGTGTTAAGATTTTTAAAAACCACCTGAAAACTACAGAAATTCAAAGGCTGTACCACCCGGAACACAAGTTTCTTGCATAAATCAGGGCTTTAGCATGTTTTGTGTATGTAATTTAATCATCTGAGCATCATATGAGAAAGACAGAAACATCACAGAATGGCTTAGGTGGTATCGTGTAGTATTTAAGTCCAGAACCATCAGCCTCTGCTCAGCTCCAAACACATGCAGTGGCCAGAGCAGCCCAACCATTTTTTAGCCACAGCAGTGTGCCCTTTTTCTTTCCTACCCCAACAATAAAGATAAGCCAAGCATAACTCAGAAGTTTGTTGTAAGGGCTACCTACATGATGCTGGCTAAGGTGAAAGCTCTGTGGGGCTTTGCATATGCACAAGATCTCATTTAAACTGGGCTGTTATCTGTGCAAAGTAGCTGTACATCCTGCAGTGGATATGAGTGCCAGACTAGTATCTGGGAGGCCCAGGTGTGACTCCTCACTCATGCCATGGAAGCTGGCTGGGTGATCTTTGGCTAGTCACGCTCTCTCAGCCTAATCTGCCTCACAGGGTTGTTGTGAAGATGAAATGGATGAGGGGAGAATGATGTAAGCCACTTTGGGTGCCCCTTGGGGAGAAAGGTGGGGTATAAATGGATTAAATAATAAAATAAATAATACCAGGGATCTGTAGCCAGAGTGGGTGTTGCAGTAGTATGCTTATTAAATATACATAGGGGGGTTTTGGGTGGCACAGTTTACAGTCCAATTCAAACAAGATACATGTGTGTTTTTGTCTCAACCATGCCAAGTTTAAATCAGGTCTGAACTAGTGTGTGTGACATGTTTCCTACATTTAGGTACCACTGCAACTTATCCCCACAAAACCATGAGGACAGGAGGGAAAAGGTAAAAATCTATTTTTGTACCTGACATTCATTACAAACTGCCACCATACCACTTGATTTATTTGCCCTATTTATAGTTCGCCTTTCACAAAAATATTCATGTACACAGAATATGTGATCCTGCCTTCACAGTAATCACACAATTAAATTTAAAATAAATTGTTACAGATGACCACCTGCTGCTGACTAAGCATGCAAGGGTGCAAATAATTGAGAAGTCTTTTCCAGGCAGAATGAAAGGTAGCAGATTCTTAGTTTGACTGGGGTGGGGTGGGGTGGGGTGGGGTGGGGGGAGCAGCTATTCCCTACTTGTCCCAGACCATGTACTGGCAGAAGTGGCAACAGCACTTATTATACCCCCCCACAAACTCTGGAGGCAGTGGGTAGAAGGATCTGGCAGAGAAATGCTGGAAGTTTGGAAGGGCAGAAGAAAAGGGTGGACAAGAACCTAGATCGCAGAATCAAGCCTTCAAAAAAAACCAGGGTGATGCCCTGACCTGGATAGCTCAGGCAAGCCCAATCGTGTCAGATCTCAGAAGCTAAGCAGGGTCGACTCTGGCAAGTACTTTGATGGGAGACCTCCTCGGAACCCCAGAGCTGGGAGGCAGGGGCAGGCTTTATTCAGCCACCTCTCTGAATATCCTGCAGGCCCCCAGTAAGGGTCAGTCACCAGAGGTTGCCATGACTTCCAGGTGAACGCACTCACTCACATGCACATGTGCGTGCAAATACAAAAAATATCAAAACAACAACAGCCCGGGGTAGTGGCATACTTTACTACTAAGATCCTCAATCTTGTTGAGTCTATAGACACTATTGGAATTTGGAGAATGGAGAGGGGGGGAGTAGGTACTACAAAATGGCTGCCATTGGAGAGAGTTTCAAAATTACTACAAAATTACTACTACAGAGTGCTGGGGCCAGTCACCAAATGTTGGGAGGCTCCAAGCTAAGCATTCTCCTAAAATTAAGGCAGATGTTTCTGACTGGGTGCTACCTGCAGGTACATGGTGATGCCTCCTGGGTTCTTCTGAAATATCTCCTGCTTAAATGAGGTGGAGGAAAGCCACGTTTGGCTTTTTGCTTGGGAGAGAGGTAAATGTACAACTAGAAACCCATGCTGGGAATTAGTGCTTTTGTGTTTGCATATCATCAAGGTTGTTGTTGTTGTTGTTGTTTTAAAGTAAATCATTTTTCAGGGCTGTGTCCAGGATGGATTTTTTGGGGGGAGGTGGAGCTACAGGAGATCCATAATTTCTTCTCAATAGATTCTTGCCACTGCTTTGGCTCATCATCTTTTCTTCTTAGTGTTCTGCCCCCACCCCGCTCCTGCTCTGTTCTATGGCAAATGCTCATCAAAGGGTTGCCACCTGCCACAGACACAACCATAGTGAAAGCATAGTGGTGCCGTGAAGGAAGAAGGCAAAGCTTGACATCTCTTGTTCTGTTTGGCCCTGATAGCTCTGGCCTCAAAAGGAGCTCACCCATGCCAACTGCCGACACCGAGCAGCATTTGTGAACATTTCTGAATGTTTTTTAGGCTTTCCCCAGCTTCAATCATGTTATTACTGTTATGTGACAAACTATTAAGAGAGCTTCTGTCGCACAGAAGACAATATGTTGGGCTTGAATGTAGGAGATCTGTATGCATGCCTGTGTGTTTAAAGACATGTATACTGCACCTTTCCTGAGTCATCCTGCCAGGTGGCTGATAATAAACCCATTAACAATAAATTCCAAATTGTCTTTCTCCTTGGCCAATGTAAAGAGGGGACTCACCAGTAGCACTAATAAGGAAGTCCTCCATGGAAGTAACCAGCCCCTGGATAAACTCAGGGCAGGAGAAAATAATGTCTGGGTTAGATCAGGGCTGCTCCTGCCACACACGCTTAATCCCACAGACTGCTGGCTTGAGAGTATTAAACATGGACTTGGGAGCTGATAAAATAGCCACAGAAATAAGGCTGGTGGAACTGTCTTCCTACCATACTAAGGTCAGTGAAATTCCAAATCTGGTTACTGGGTAACTTTGGGCACAAATCTCTCTCACTCTAACTTGGACAGCCACTGTGGTACCATGTTTAAAGTGTCAGCTGAGGCCGGGCAGGTCTACACTCAGATTAACATCTCTCAGGTTTGTGAGGACAAAATAAAGGTTCTGAAAGGTGGTCTGCCCAAACATAGGATGTATGGATATGACTGGGCGTACTGCCACTCAAAGAGCACCACTTACAGATGTTTCTTTTCCACACCATTTTATCCTAATAACAACCTACCTGTAAAGTAAACCTGCCTCTCAGATCCTTATTCTGCTTTTCCTCACTGGAGCTCAAGAGGCAGGTTTACTGGCTGTTTTTTTGGATGGTTTGTCAGACTTTGCCTTCTTAGGTTTTGACGTAACCGTCTGTTGAGGTGCTGAGGTCCGGCTCTATTTTTATTTATTTATTTATTTGTTTGTTTATTTGTTTGTTTGTTTATTTATTTTTGGATTTATATCCCGCCCTCCCCGAAGGCTCAGGGCGGCTAACAACGAGGCACAAGTGCCAGAATTAAAACAGATAAAACAGTCTAAAACAGGAAAACAATATAATACAACAACAAAGTGTCAGTGCAAGATGGGGTAGATCTTAGTCGAATGGCATTGGTCCCACAACTTGTCATCCCCTCTCCTTCCAGGGTCACCTCGCACCCAGATGGAACCACATATTGGTGGTAGTGGTGCGATGCTGCATACATATCGGTGGTGGAATTATAGTGGCGGCGGCTCCTACTCGAAAGCCTGGCAGAAGAGCTCCATCTTACAGGCCCTGCGGAACTGAGAAAGGTCCCGCAGGGCCCGGATCTCCTCCGGGAGCTCCTTCCACCAGGTAGAAGCCGCCACCGAGAATGCCCTGGCTCTAGTAACAGCAAATTTAACATCCCTGGGGCCTGGAATTTCCAGGAGATGTTGACTCCCCGATCGTAGTGCTCTTGGGGGAACATATGGGGAAAGGCGGTCCCTTAGGTAAGCCGGACCCTGGGTAGGGGAGGCAGCGTATTTTGAGATATGCAGGGCTGATCCATCACTGGCGCCAAAGATTTTTCTAACAAGAAGGTTTTGAGGTGCAATGCCCTATTCTTTCTAGCTTGGCATGTAAACTTTAAACAATGTGGGCAAGAGTTTGTTCTGTGATCCTCCCCGAGGCACAGTAAACAACAGTCGTGGACGTTACATTTAAAGCACTGTTTTAAAAAGTGAGCCTGTCCCATATGTTGCTCCCTCAGTTCAGAAAACAAACTGATTAATGTATTACAAAAGAAGGTTCTTATATTACTTGAATTAAATAGAAACGGCTATCTTAGAGCGACAAGGAAAAATGTCCAACTGACAGGTGGAAAAAAAGGAACTTAGCGGGGATGGGGTCTACCTCGGCTCTGAGCATGCTCAGTAGTCACATGCTCAATGGAGCTGAGAAAGACTCCGCACAGAAGAGGCTATCTTTAAAGCTTTTTAAGGCTTTCCAATGAGGATTTGACACAAAACCCAGTGTGTGGTCTGCACAGAGACCATATAGAAGATCCGTTGCTGCCTTGAGACAAATTGCTGTTGTCTGTTTATGTAA